CAACTTCCCATGGTGGAATTCAAGGAGCCACACATGGGAAGACTAAACAACAATCTTGGATTCCCAAAATCCATATTTTGGAAATCCAAGAGACAACTTTTAAGACATTAAAAACTATAATAAAAGTGCATTTAAATAAAGATAAATATGAACTAAAATTGTTAGCTCATAATGAGCTAACCCTTAGTTCAATAAATGAACTAAAGTTCAGCTCATAAATGAACTAAAAGTTTAGCTCAAATATGATGAACTACTAGACTCAAGGGAAGCCAAAATATGATTTATTTTGGACTAGTGTTGACCCCCCCCCTTGTCTACATCAATAGTGGAGGACGCAATTTTCTGAGCTCTCCGTGGTGGCTGAGATCCAACGACAAGCCAACCTCTTCTCTGTTTTTTTCCTCCACCATTTCAATTGCACTTTCTTCCTTAGCCTCCTTATCCACAATGGAAATAGAAACCGTTCCAATCATGCTAGTCGCGTGCGCTGAGGGTGGGAGCAGGCCGTGTGAGTACGAAGCATGATCAAGCATTTGGGATGATTCCTTTGTCTGGGTCTTCGATACATAAAAGTCAAAAGAGCGAGGAATCTAGTCCTGTGTGAGCGAAGGTGCCGTGGTCACACTGATTGAGAAAGAACTAAAGTCATGCGGAGTGTTAGAGACCAGATTGGGAGTGGGAGGTAGCAGCGAAGTGGTAACGTTGGATTGTTTAGAGCGGGTTATTTGGATCGGGAGGGAATGTGGGATCGGCATGCGCAGTTGTGGGATGATTGCGGATTGAGTGATCGGGAAGGGGATTATGCCATTGGAGTGGAAGTGAGAGCATGAGCAGGGCGGGTCATGCAAAAAGGGGTGAATGCACCGGAATAGTTGTCGATGTTCTTCTTCGTATTCTCTCAATGAAACAACTGAATTAAGACAATAGAGCATCTATTCGATCAATTGAGACATCCACTTGAGTTGCCCAAAGGGATTCGCGGCGTCGATCATCGTCAACCACCCATCTTTAGTGTCCATCGTCGTTGACAGCTCATCTTCTTCTGCAGTTCATCATTCTTCATAAGATCCAGGCTCTGATACCAACTGAAGTAGTGAATTGATAGAAGAAATGAATTTGCTGGAATGATAACAAAACTAAGAACCAATACAAGCTTCAAAATAGTATAATATTCATTAATGTCTCATCATACTACAATAATAATATATATAACTTAGCCATAGAAACTTTTAAAAAGCATGTAACAAATTGATAAGTTATTCCTAGGGTATAATATAACGAGGATGTTCCTATATCATACTCCCCTTGCATCAAAAGAGTTCACTCCGTTGAGGTGCATCATCAGGAGGGAGGGAGGTATATAAATCATAAGCAATCCACCTGGGTTAAAAATTTTGCGTCTTTGATGCATGCCCACAAGCTTATTCAAATGAGCATATGTTCTTGATATTTCAACCATGCGATGAAGGACGGTCATTACAGCTTCATTGCATAGAGCAGCTAAATCAGCACCAACAAAATCATATGTTTCAAAAGCCATGACTCGATCACACTGTTACTTAGTGAATGATCCATATTTTTAAGAGTATGCAATATACCTAATCGTTGAACTGGAGACGATACTCCTATTTCAATTTCTCGATCTAATCTACCAAGTCATCTTAGGGTAGAATAAATACTGTCGGGTTGATTTCTAGCATCAATTATAAGAATTCCATCGAATATTTTAGTATCATCCATCAATTTTAGCAAAGTTGTGAGCATTTTAAGAGACAACTCATCGCCTCCACCCATCCATGATGGAAGAATGGCATCAAGCTCATCAATAAAGACCACAACCAGATCAACTCTCCTTACTGAATCAAAAATATCATTTAATGTTTGCTCACTTCCACCATAGTATTGACTAATAATTTCAGGCCCATTAACTGATTTTTCTAGAGCACCTATAATGACGATTGCTTTAACATCATCTCTTCTCATGACTTGCTCATAATTTTCCTTTTCTTCCTCGTACAGCACCATTACTAAACTCCCTATTTTCAAGCACTCATACACAAGGTACATCACCCCTTTTCTTAAGCAACATCCATGGAGTTTCACTGTGTTCCGGTGCCGCATCTCGATCAAGGCTCTGAACTCATTCTCAAAACTCTTCTGATTGATGTCTAGGATGTTGCCGATTTAGAGGTTTTGGTTGAATTGAAGCTTCTAGACAGCAGAGAAATAACCGATTGATGAAGGGAGAGGACTAGAGAGGCGGTTGTTCAAGAGGGTAAGCTGGCCCATATTGGACGAGATACGAGATTTGGTAGTGTCAGGGAATCCACTGATGGGGAGATTGTCCTGCAACTTAACCTCAGCGAGATTGGGAAGGCCAAAGAAGCCTCTTAGGATGGATCCATAAAGATAGTAAAATAAAGAGTAAGTGAACTATTAATTAATTTGATTTAGATATGAATTTCCATTCTCATTTGTTAATTGAAGAAATTATTGTTGTAGGAAGAATTCAATTATAGTAAGCATTGGTTTGATAGTGAATGAAGGAGATTTGCGAGGAAGGAAGATTTCGGTAAGATAATTATTGCAGAAATTTTGGTATGAATTAGAGCTCTTTTATGTTGAAGTAAATTAGTTATCGTTGTAAGAAGAATAGGAAACATTGATGTTGCTTTATGATTGAGAACTCCAAGTTGAAGGTTTATATTAAGTAAGATCTTATTAATGTTATTTAAACAGTGGAAGATTTTTATAATTAAGTTGAGACAAGTATTGGAATCTACAACAAAGCTCAAGATTTGGAAAGAATTAAAGCTTGAAAATATTCAAAGTGGGTAATTATAGTTGTACATAATTTTATTGTTATAGTTTTATTTTCATTCTGAAGGAATATTTTAGATAATTGTTTTGCTCATTGTTGAGACTGTTATGAGTAATGCATTGTAAATTCAAATACACATAGGATAGTAAAACATACATAAATTATCATGAGAGTATGTAAAGGTATATGAATATATGAAAGAGATATATACTTAAAACACATGTAAAAAAATAGGAAGTAAAATTGAAATATATATATATATAAGATAATACATATATCAAATGTTATATACATTATATTTTATATATGTTTAATTTTTATATATATAGAAAGGTTACCAACCGAGTTTATCATGTAAACTTAATATATTAAATTAAACTTTCAGTTAAGTCTCTAGAAAAATAGAAATTTTTGAAAAAGAAGAGGAATATGTCTACAGAAGACGGCGCACAAATGCAAGTAGGTAATCTATGGATTATGTCAATGTTAATTATATGAAAATTTTAATTAGTAGTTAGATGGAAAAATTTTATTAGTGGTTCTTCAATGTTTGTATATTGTTAGAAATTACTGTTATAAGTAAGAATAGTATTTGTCTTAACCATGCACTTTGTCTTAACTGTCCGACTGCATGTTCATGCCTTGTTAATTCGAGTATTCGGGTCGGATCGTGACATTAGAGACAAATATCGGCCTAAGAAGATGTAATCTGTAAAATCACTGACGCCATTGTAGTCATTTTTGTGGAGATTATGGCTCATATGGACTTTTAGGCTCTCGGAGTTCAAACTGGAGTATAACGGAGGACGCATCTTTCTGACCTCTTGGTGGTGGTTGAGATCCAACGACAAGCCAACCTCTTCTCCATGTTTTTCTCCATTGTTTCAGCTACACTTTCTTCCTTAGCCTCCTTCTCCACAATGGAAATAGTAACCGTTCTAATCGTGCTAGTCGTATGCACTGAGTGCGAGAGCAGGTTGTGTGAGTGCAAAGCATGATCGAGCATTTAGGATGATTCCTTTGTATGGATCTTCGATACATAAAAGTCGAAAGAGCAGGTAATCTGGTCCTACGTGAGCGAAGGTGCCAAGGTCACGCTGATTGGGAGCCAACTGAAGTCATGCGGAGTGTTGGAGACCAGATTGAGAGCGAGCGGCTGTAGTGAAGTGGAAATAGTGGATTGTTTGGATCAGGAGAGGAATGGGGGACAGGGCGTGTGTGGTTGCGGGATGATTGCGGATTGAGTGGTCAAGCAGGGGATCGCGCCATTGGAGTGGAAGTGAGAGCGGGAGCAGAGTCTGTCGCAAAGAGAGGGGTGAAAGCACAGATATGGTTGCTGATATTCTTCTTTGTATTTTCTCTACGAAACAACCAAATTTAGACAATAAATCATCTATTCGATCAATTGAGGCATCCACTTGAGCTGCCCAAAGGGCTTCGCGGCGTCGATCATCGTCGACCGTCCATCTTCTTCGACGTTGATCGTTGTCGACAATCCATCTTCTTTGGCATTCTGTTATTCGTTACAAGCTCCAAGCTTTGATACCAACTGATGTGATGGATCAGCGGAAGAAATAGATTTGCTAGAATAAATACAAAAGTAAGAACCAATACAAGCTTACAAGCTTCAAAATAGCATAATATTCATTAATGACTCATCCTACTATAGTAGTAATATATATAAGTTAGCTATAGAAACTTCTAGAAAGCATGTAACAAATTGATAAGCTTTTCTTAAGGTATGTTATAACTAGAATGTTCCTACATCTTTAAATTTTTTGGGGACATTTAGATCAATTAAAGCAAACTCACATGCCCATCACATAAGACTCCAATCTAAGGCCTCTTAGGACGAGGTGAGCTGTGTATGCTTAATCTTTTACAAAATCCAAAATTTGTGAATACCATGTAGGAAGGAGAAAACTTTGTTAGCTACATCGACGAAGTAGGGGGCGTTGGAGACCGAATCACGAGTGATGCCGTTGCAGCGGATAGACAATGACGAGATAGCGTTGAGGTCGGATGGTCGGACGAGTGTGGAGAAATTGTCCACCTCAATCAGCCGACGAGGGCACACCAAGATGGCCCCAAACTCCAGCAGGTAGTACCCGCCGCCGCCGCCGCCGCCGCGGCGTCGGGAACCGGATGGCACAGTTGTCTCGACATCGAAGAACGCAATCATCGTCTTGTCATCTTGCTGATTTGGCCTTGCTGGCTCCATCTCTTTCTCTCGCTCTCTACTTTCGTATTGTTTCTATCTATAATATTTCGGATTCCCAACGGCCAACGCCTAGCGAATTTGTTGCAGCCTTCGACACTTTGCTTCCGATGTGAGGAACCCAACCTTACCCCGGGAAGTATTCATTTTTATGCTTCATCCCGTCACGGAGTAGACTTTAGCTGGAATGCGATGGCCGATTCGCGCAAGCTTGCCCAGGTTGCCGGTCAGAATTTTAAGAGGATTAAGTCGAAAATCAATACTTTTTTAGTAGAGTTTTTTTTTTTTTTTTTTGGGGACATTTAGGGGCTGTTTGGCAACAAGTGGGATTTAACTTTAGTGGGATTTAATAAATCCTGTAAATCCGGATTTAGTAAATCCGAAATGTGTTAAATCCTAAAAACTGTTTGGTATGTTAAATGTTAAATCTTGTTAAATCTTGAGAAACTGTTTGGTAACATATATCAGGATTTATGGTGGTTAGGGATTTAAATTTAAAGGATATATTTATGAAATTAAGATCATTGCATAAAACATAATAAAATTAATTACAAACTAACATGGACCAAAATGAGAGTTGAAATATTAAATAAGCTAATTATATTAATATTTAATTACTAATTATATCATTAATTAATCAATTAAGTTAAATTAGATAATTAATTTATGCACTAATTCTACTATTAATTATTTAATTAATTAACTTAATTATTATTTGTTTAAATTATATAAAATAAGTTAATCGATAATAACTTTGAGGCGTCTAGGGTTTGTATTTCATCTTTTCTTTTCGTCGTTGCCGCGCTCGCTTGGGTTCGGCTGTTTAGGTTCAGTCGCGAGTCGCAGCGCGTGTCGAGTGCCGACTGGTCACTGGCCACGGTGTCACCTGGTCCGCCGCTGCGCGCCTGCTGCCTCGGCACCTGCTGCCGCTGCCGGCGACCGCTTCCTTTTTAAATAATCGTGTCGGGTCGTATCAACCCGGAAACCCGCATAGGTCGGGTCCGGGTTGAGATAGCCGACCCGTTTACAAAAATGGGTTGGGTTCGGGTTGACCCGTTTAGAACCGGGTCAACTCGGGTTCGACCCAAACCCGAACCGTCGACCCGAATTGACACCCCTAATCAACGCCTTGGTGCTCTTTCGCTATTTAAGATTGAACTACTGGAGCCAATCTTTATTGAATATGGACAACTACATTTTCTTTGTTTCACTCATTATGCTCCTTTATGCAGCTAATTTTGATTTGTTGGTATGGACTTTTGAGTACCAATCAAGAGATTTTGTATTCAAGTCTTTGTAATTTAAATGTGAGTTTATCAATAATTGACCTAAATGTCAAAAAAAAAATAATAGAATGAAGTCATGTCATGTTCACATTTTCTTTGTTTCACTCATTATGCTCCTCTGTTCTCAATGAAGTCATTATGCAATATTATTATAAAATACAAAATAGAATGCAAATGTTGTAATTTTTTTAATAAATGATGATTATTTTTTAAAATTAAATTTTGAGTGATGGGTAGATCATGTCATGCTAGCTTGAGGTCACTTAGGAAAATCACCTAGTAATGGTTAGTTATAAGCACTCCTAAGGAGTACATTTATGAAGTATGGTGATCCCTCATTCAATTAAATTGAGAATATAGTCACCAATAAGAACATCTAGAAATATTGTCAGTGGGTGAATTTGGAACTATAAGTGTAGTAAGTTTAAAGAGAATATATTTTGGACCAGTCAAATAGACCCAGGCAGTAGGTTTAGATGTTCCGTCTTCCTCTACCTTCGGCCTTAGGAGAAGGGCTAGGAGGAATAGAAATATGAGACTCCATCTGGCTACATCTGAGGCAGATAGGTAGCAGATGGCTGAGGCGATAACTCACGAGGAGCTTGTTCAGAGGAGAGTGGCTCCTAGGCAGTGGAGACCACGTCCAATTGTAGTTGTGCCCACCCCAGAGGTGATAGTAGCTCCTGAGATAGAGGCAATCCAGGGAAGACGCTTCTCTCCACTGACTCACAGTGGGGACGAGGAGGACGGTGCCCGCATTGCGATGGCCCCTCCTGTTACCACTACTTTGCCCTGTGCTAGGGTCCTCAGGGACGCTGGTGTTCGAGCCCTCTCTAAGAGGATTCGAAATATCGTCCACCTAGCTCGTGGCAGAGGGCCTATCAGTCGCGAGAGGTTACTCCGACAGATCTCTCAGGCTACTTTTCAGTTGAGGAGACAGACTGCGAGGCAAATATACAGTTGGCAGAGAGGGCAGACACCTCAGCAGTTAGCAGAGACAGTTCCAATGGTTAGACCGCCGGAAGTTACTCCTGCTGTAGGATGACACCCACGTCGCCGAGGACAGAGACAGCAGCGGGAGCCTGCTCGGCCCCATATCAGTTTAGTAGTGGTAGCCCCTCAGTAGCCGGTTACCCGTATAGAGCCCCGCCGTAGTATGTGGGTTTGGAGACATCGGCAGGCGGGCACCCCTGTCGACCCAGTTTAGCCATATGAGACAACACCGTTGGCAGAGACTGAGCAGTAAGTGGACACAGTTGATCAGATGGATGTTGTAGCTCCTTTCGGGTCTGAGGCGGTCCTGATAGCTTGTGATGATGATTTAGTACCTACCCCTGATGGATCACCAGAGCGGGATGACATAGAGCCAGCTCCCAGTCCTCATAGGATCACCTCTCCTATGAGTCCCTACATAAAGGCACTTCGATGATCTTTTTTAGAGGATGATGATACACTAGGAGATGAGTTCGATGAGGATATACCAGTGCACTTGGTCTGTGTGATGCCCTAGATGATGGGTGTAGCCACTACCAGTACTTCTAGAGACCAGTCAGTAGTACCACCTGTTGCACTAGACCCTGTAGGAGTAGACAGGGTCCAAAGAGTAGTCCCAGCACCGCCCACAGTGCCTACTTACACTACTCCAGTCCAGAGTCAGCCAGCTCAGTTGTCAGCAGGTCAGATCCAGGATTTGATAGCTCAGAAGGTAGAGCAAGCGATTTCCTCCAGGAATGCTGGAGAGACAGTTAGCAGAGGGCATCCCTACCCAGTTGAGTACGAGCAGGAGCCCTACCCCCTGGCTTCATTCCTCTTAGATTTAGAGTGTTTGACGCACGGGCTTGGGAACTCGAGGCAGTATGTGGCTCAGTACTGGGCCATATGTTGCAATATAGGAGGGAATAATGCTTTGATATTGAGATTATTTATCAGCAGTTTGGTGGGGTGGCATTTTCTTGGTACGCTGACCTCCCCAATGACTCAGTCCAGACTTTTGCAGAGTTGGAGCAGCTTTCATACATAAATTTATTAGTGCAGAGCACCGGGTCACTATAGGAGAGTTAGTGGTCACTAGACAGCGCCCTAGAGAGACCCTCCCAGATTATATAGTCAATGGAGGAACCTCAGTTTGTAGTGTGAGCCACAATTACAGGAGCAGCACGTAGTTGAGATTTTACTAAAGAACATAGATTGTCCCATCGCTTCATATCTGAAATGTTTCACCATTTGAATCATTCAGAAGTTGCTGACCAAGATCACTAGTTTGCAGGATAGCATACCCGATGCAGTCCCTCCTAATGTTGAGAGTAAGCCTTCGTGCAGACCTCAGTATCAGGAGTTTTCAAGGGCACCTCAGCCTAGGAGAGGGGAGGTACACTGTGACGACCCCAAGATCCGTGTAGCGAAAGGATTCATCTGATCGTTCTATTGCCTCTTTTTTTTTCTTCTTTTCTTTCTATCGGTTTCCTCATCTGTTGTTCATATCAATCCATACATACATATATTCAGAGCCAGAGATAATTACATTACAGAAAAGAAACAGCAGCGGATACTATAATTCACATATAGTACAACAGTCAGAGTACAGCCAAAAGAGAAATCTACACTAGACCCCGAAATTGGACTTCTTCCTTTGCTTTTCCTCTCTTTCTCTCTCTTCAAAATATCTGATATTTTAAAAATGATTTTCTCTCTCCTCAAAACGAGCTGATTTTCTTATATCATAAAGCTGATCGGCCCGGCTGATCGTCAAATCATCCCGGGACGATCAGACCAAAATCGATTGTCCTGGACGGTTCCCAGAACTATTCTCAGGACGGTATTTTGAACAGTACAGATCGGCCTGGATGATCTCACTATCGTCCCGGACGATCCTGGAAGGAAAATCCAAGTCAGAGAGGAACAGTAAGAGAACGAGGTCTCACATACACAATATATAGGAACCACCAGATAAGGGCAAGAGGCTCTTAGCCAGTTCAGCACCGCAGCAGCAGCAGTAGTTACACTCCTCTGGTCAGCCAGCAGTATAGCCCAGGACCTCCCATAGGACTCTAGAGAGTCAGCAATACCTACAGGAGAAGCTTAGTAAGGAATACTCTTTCAAAAGGGAGAGTGAGAGAAAGATCTTCAAATTCCTTACTAAGAAAAAATATTTTGACATTCCCACATAACAATAGAGTAGAGGAGGAGGGACAGACAGACCACCCACTTTATTGTCCTTACCATAGACATATTGGGCATGTGTTAGAGGACTGTTATGTGTTCAAAGATAGAGTTGAGAGGTTGATGGCCACCAGACAGATACAACTCCGGGATAGTGATTTGGTGCAGCCCAAGGGCAAGGTCACTCAGATAGTTCAGATGATCTCCAGTCCCAATCACAGTTCCAGTTATAGTGACAGTCAGAGTTACAGTCATGGAAGTAGCAGTACATCACTCCACAGTTCTGAGGGAGAGTGTTAGTTAGCACTCTCCAAGAAGATCAAGAAGATGATATATCATGCAGTTTAGAGTTCATAGGCAGTTGAGAGGAGGCCTTCCCAGGCTAAGTCGATAGTTGCCGCTCCAGTTACTACGCCAGCACTTATACTTTTTTCTTCTACTATTGTAGTTCCAGATGAGCACATTTCTTCTTCTACTTTTACTTGTACTGGAAAAATGTATGAAAAGGAAAAGTTTGTTGTAACTTCAGAGGGGAAGACAGGGTTCCTTCTAGCACTTATGCTGAAGGACTTTGTTCTCCCTTCATTTGATGAGAAAATAATAGAAGAATGTGATTCTGGCTACTTTTGATCTTCTGTACCTTTTACTTCTGCTTTTACTTCTTCTTCTTCTAGTACTTGCTCCTTTTCTATTTTACATGTTTCTTATAATGTTAATAATTCTGGTGAGAAGTCTGAGTATAAAGATGAGCCCGTCTTTGTGATTCTAGAGGGTG